CTCTTTCAGTTCCAATAAATCTTTGCCAACAACTCAAAAGTTATTTGGGGATTTTTTTTTTTCCAACAGTATTATATTGTTAATTCATACGCAGTTTATGAATCTGGTTCTTTTCTGCAGTACTGCTCTCTCCATCTGATTTCTCCTTCCGAATTATGGCACTTTGAACTTGTTTTGAATTTCCTCAGGTTGAATTTCGTCCATATGTCAAAATTATTTTGAATTCTGATCATGTCTTTCAAAGTGCTTATACTTTCCCTCAACATGGTGTCATTTGCTATTTATAAATGCACTTTCTATTCCATCATTCTATCTGTTAATGAGAAATTTTAACAGAACTGAATGTACGGTGGGGTAAGCTTTGAGGTTCTGCTCCAAAAAAAATCCACTTTGATAGTGTAGAGTTCATTTTTTCAAATAGCTGTGCACTCACCTGATAGGTATGTTGTGTGGAAACAGTGTCTAAAGACTTACTAAAGTCAAACTGTTTCATCGCTACTATTTCCTTTGTTCACTAAAACAGTTACTCCATCAGAAAAAATTAGACTAGTTTTATACGATGTGTTCTTGACAAACAAATGTTGGCTGTTTCTCCTGATCTTATCCTCTAGTGCTTGTAAATTGATTATTTTTAGGGTGATGGTGTGAGCAAGTGCAAAATTGCAAATTGACTAGAAGTTAAAATAAAAATACAGCTGACCAACCTTTTCATTTCCCAGAATGAATGAAGTACAGAAAGTTGAGCATAAAAGATGGAAATTGTATTTTATTTTCAAAGTTCTTTCATTTCAAAATTCAGAATGAGGACCTTAACACTGAAAAATGAAATGTCAAGCTATGGTATTGAGATGAAACTTACTCATTTGGTTAAATCAAAGAACAGTTTTCTGTGTATATACATAAAAGATAAGAAACTCCATGGAGCTGCAGGCATCTAACGGTTTTCCTGCAAAATCCAGCCTCCAATGCCATAGCTCATGGGGAGAACATGATAATTTCAAAGGTAGGAATAAGATTACTTCATTTTAGAAATAACCTCCAGAAATTCTTGATGTTCATCTATAAAATGTATATGCTGTAAGCTTAAAACCACACTAAATCCTACAGTTCTCATTTTGTTTCTGTTCATTTTGATCTATAATATCAGAATACAAAAACTCTCTGCAGAATATTTTTACAGAAAAAGCTAAATGTTTTTGTTGGTCTCTGCATTGCTATTTCCACTGCTGCTAAAAGCTTGTTTGTTTTTCTCTCTAGATTGCTATCTTTTAGATTATTTTTCCACATTAACCATTTTAATTATTCCAAGTAACAAGTCAGCGTCCAAGCCAATGAAAACAGTGGTATCTCACTGAAAATTATAATTTGTACATTATATCAATTTTCAATTGAAGCCTATTGCTCTCTGAATGGAATAGCATGTACTTTGACTCATTGAGAATGAGAGTAATTAAAGGTGGTCACAACGGATTGGAATCAAAGTATGATTTGCTAATTGCTATCATACTTTGCTAATCCAATTAATACTGATTCTTGGATTAGCAACTGGGGTTGATATTCTCAGGTAAACATGAGATGCACATCTCGGGTACACAAACGCTTTTTAAGATGGGACTGCAAGATGGGGCTATGAAGACTGGAGGAGAGGAGGGGCAAAGAGCTGGCAAAAAAGATAGATGAATAAAAGCATCATGCTGCCAGCATAAGCCATAAGTATCCACATTAAGCTCAATTTGCCTGCATAATAAGATGTAATTCTGCAGATGAACATTCCTTGCGTAGGCAAGGCCTTAATTAACAGGCTGAACTGAAAAATCCTGGTTTGCAAAGATGCTCAGAGAGGGGATGAACATACAATTGCATATTCTCATCTTAAGTTACCACTCCCCTGCTTGTCTGAATGCAAAGTAATACAAAGCAGTAGAGACTATCTCCCTGAGGTGGGATTTCATACTGTTTAACTGATCTACTGCTCCCGCATGCTGAGCTCCACTGGTTTGCTGAATAAAGCAAACAAGATTTCTGTAACTGTAGACAAAGCCCTTTACATGGAAAAAGCTTCATGCAAATTGCTAGTAGTTAAATTGTTCAGATATGAAGTATTCATTTTAACCTTCCACTTCAAATGTCCTGTCAAAGCCCGCTTCTGGTGTGAAGTCTGCAGGAAACCAGCAAAACCGTGTATTGAAGATGGAATAATATGGACATTATTAATGCTCCTTCATGAAACATCTCTCAAAAATTTTTGAAACACGAGTTTTTCCATGCAGGTGACTTGTGTTATTACTGTCACTTTTGTTCTTCCTTTTTCTTTTATTGTAGACTGTTAGCTTACACGTTGTATCTTGCTTTACTTCAGAAATAATTTCTGTGAAAGGGATCTTCTTCTGTGTTAAAATACAGTGCCTGACAGTTTGGGATCCTTTGCCTGGGCCATTTGGTGTTACTGGAATATTAATAACGCTAGCACTTTTCGCTGAGATATAGTTTTATAATTATTACATTTGCAGAAGGGAGACAGACTCACAGTCTCATGATCATAGATGTTGATTTTCCACAAAAAGTTAAGCTGTGAGAGGAATGACACGGGCAATTTCTAGGCTATATCTATTCACAGAAGAGTCTGCTCAAAAACTAAATAACTGTTGTAACACATGCCTCATTCTTGTTTGTTTTCCAAGAACATTTTTTCACGTGTGCTTGATTAGGAATGTATTGATACATTTAAATAGAAGTCAGACTGCTCTGCCAGCCTGAATCTGAGAGACAGCACTAGGTGTACGCTGTTTTTCTAATAGGAAGTCTCCTGTATTCTATAAATAGACATGTTTCAGTTCTGATTGTTCTGTACTAAAATAACTGGCTAGATGTCTAATTACTCTCAGCAGAAAACACAAATAATGGCAGGCATTCAACCCCTCCTGAAAAATTGTTCCTAGCAGTTAACTGTTGTAGTTCCTGGGCCCTGGCTCAGAAGCATGCTCGGTCTGAGGGCCCTTTTTCCTTTCCCTTTTCTTTTCTTCGGTGCGTTCATATCGATCACTCTGCTGTGTCCTAAAGGCAAATGATACACAGTGCAGCATATCCTTTGGAGTCAGGGATCAAATTCATCCCTGGCCAGGATGTGTAACAATAAACGAGGGAAGGAAATTAACTGCTTCTGAAAAATGGGAGTTCCCTCCAGCTCCCTTTCAATTTGCACACAGCTAGGCATTGTGCTTTATATGTAATTATAATGATTTATTCAAAGGTGTTTGGTAGTCTAAGGCGTAACATCTTGCTTATCTGATAATTACATAGCTGGTGAGGTCATCAAGTAGGTTGTTAAAACTGTCAATCATCTTTTGCACTAAAATGAAGTCTTTGCTTGTATGTTTCTTTAATGTTTCATTTATTTGCTATCATCTGTGCCATTTTTATCTACCTGCAGTTTTTTGTTTGTTTCTTTCACAAAGGAGCACGTAGTGAATCTTTCTTGCCCAAATATCACATGCCTTAATTATTTTTATACCCTAATACTGATTCTCATAATGTGAAATTAAAGAATTCTTTACAGTAATGGATGCAGCATAACTGAAAATTCATCTCTTCAGCTTTGTCACACTGCTTATAAACCTAAAAAAGGTGATAGTTACTTTCGTAGTCCTGGACCCGTTCTGCATAATAAGTTCATTACTGTACCTAATGTAAATTGAGTGTTAGATCTCCTTAAGTGAAATCTTCACCCTGCTTGGCATTTGCGATTGTGATTGGGATAGGAAAAAATTACATTTGGAGAGGGAAATCTGCCAAAATAAATATCTCTGTGGGCCATCAGTGGGACCAAATTTAGGGGGTAATCTAATAAAATTAGGAAGGTATCACAGATGGATAGGACAAAATGGAATAAAATGCATATAATCTTCCCAACCTTGGGAAAAAGAACCAACCAACCAGTCACTGAAATAGCTGTACTGCAAAGAGCTTTGACCTAATGCTGTACCCTGCCTTGGATGCTGTACAGCTTCTCTGGCTGCCCTTTCTGTTTGGAAGTTCTTTATTTCTGATTGTGATCCTGTCACTGAAATGGTTTACCCTTTATTGAACATATTCGTGGTGTTCTCAACAGATGTAGTGATTCTGTTAATCTTTTGAGAGATGCCACTATCTCTAACTAGTCCAGATTATGAAGGCTGTATACAGAACAAAACAAATAACCATTTGAGGTTGCTGACCAAGCTCTTTTGAAGCTACATTGGCATTTCTATACCACATCACATGCTGTGATATGGGTAAACGCCAGGACCTATTTGTATCTTCTAATCCATAATGGTGTTTTAATTGGTGCAATTTAGTTTTGTCTCTTCTTCAAGCAGTCAGCTCTTGACTCCCGTGTTCCTTGTTTCCTGATGATAGAACCCCATGGTCTCACAGGTTAGCTTTGCCCTAGAAAGGAAGCATCAGAACTATCTCAGAAGCTAGCTACTTGCTCAGTGCAACTTAATTCCCACTTGTATACCAGTTCTAGATGTTGGCAATCTGGTGTCTAATATTTAGGAAGCCGCTACACCAAAATTCAGGTTAGAAATTCCTGCTTTTTAGTATTTCTTCCTGTAAAATTTACTTCCCATTAATGAAAGACCTCAGAAGATCACACTGCATATAGTGGATGTGTGTTATAAGTGTACATGTTGAGGAGGTCAGAAAAAAGAACAAATTAAAGCAGCACCATGTTATCGAACTTTTTCATTTCTGAATGCTAAACAGGTCAGACACCAGAGGACTGGACATCAGTAGGCAGGTATAACAGGAGGTGCCAACTGTGAAATACCTAAATATAGTTCCAAAGCTTGAACAGTGGTAGTGAATATGTCTTTTTCCCTTCTGCCACCTGTAGCTGTTCATGTACTTAGCACTCCAACAGTTTGCTATTCCTCAGGATTTGGCTCTAAGTATTTTTTGTGCAAATAGGAATTGCATGATATTTTCTTTCTCAATACGCTTCTTTTCTTTCCTGATAGGTCGTATAAGCCCTTGGGATCTTTTGATCTGCTTATCTGCCAGAAAAAATGATGGTACTGGCTGCATTCAAATAGAAGACTTGCATCGTCTAGAATTATTCCAGAAGGTACGAGATTATTGTGTTATCCTTTGTGGGAATGAGAGGACAGGGCTATCCCAAATTTTCAGCACTCACTCATAAAAAGAAAAGTATCTGATGCTTATTTTATACTGCAGCAGCACGGTTTAACAGCAATAAAAAAGTTTTTTCAAGTTTCCTATCTACTGAGAAATACTTGTCAGATACCAACATTTCATTCTCTTTATATCACAGCCAGTGATCAAAAGCAATTTCTCATTTGGACGTAGTATGTTATTTTGCATGTAAGTATTTCAGTGTAAATACTGAAAATTGTTACAACTGAGTGTCAAGTTTTCCTTTTCTCTTCTTTAGCTTGAACTTTTGCATTCTTGGCCACCCTGAACCAGCATGTCAGGCAGCAAAAGTGTCTACAGAAGTCAAGGGAAATTTAAACAATTTACCCTATTGGAAAAAGAGAATTTGGAAATGGGGAGAAACAACTAGCCAATGCATGCAATATTTCAGAGTAATAGCATAAGCAGAAGATAAAGCTGGACTAATTTAGCCTTCACCTCTTATATTAGTATTGAGTTTCATCTAATGTAATTGCTCCTTTGTAAACATAATTTAGGCATCTCTCCAAACAATGACAGTGCTCCTACAATTGATAATGTGTGAGCTGGACCAGTGTCCTCCTCCAGGGCCTTCATTGGAGTTCCTTGCTCTAGCACTGCAATCTGCCTACTCACAGTCCAAAGCATCAGTGGTGCCAATATTTCTTGGTATTTTCAGGATTGTTTATTTTTTTTTCACTTGAGTATGTTGTGGGCACAGTTTAGGTTACTTAGATATGCAAATGTATAAATAAGCACCTGACCTGTTGGTGAAAATATGTAAGTGATTTAAACTGAGGGCTTTGTTTGAAAAAACATGACTGAACTATGGATAAAGCTTGGCTTATATTTCAAGGACAATGGCACAGATAATGGTGAGACCCAAAAGTATAAGCTCTGAGTTGAGGGACTGGGAGAAGTAGAGCTGCTTTTAAAAGGTATTTAGTTCAGGTATGAAGTTCATGAGGATGCAAAAAAACTGTGCGTCCACAGAAGTCAGAGCTAGGAGCATGTACACTGAGGTTCCCTGGGACAGGATACCTTATCTAAGTGTATCCAAAGTGAAATTTTTATAGCAGTGCTAGTTTGCTAGAAATATACGTGCTTTGGATTCAGGTCTTGGATCATAAAACATCCCAGGCTTCTGCAAACTGCTTTTTGCTCATTCTACCCATATTATCATATCTGAGCCTCTAATACTATGCAATATAATAATCCTTACAGCACTCTGCAATGTCCAGAAGTTTCACTCATGAATAACTGAGACATAAGGTGATCAAAGGAATTGTCCAAGTTCCCTCAGGAAGTCTGCAGCACAGCAGGGACTTAAACCAGATGGCCCATATCTCCGGATAAGTTTAAATATTGGGCTAACATTACTTGCTGCTGGCATGTCCATACCACGGTGCAACACAGTTCTTTGTTGCAGAGCCTGGATGTGGTTTAGCTACATTAGCTTACCACCGTTCCCAAGCACAGCAATTCAAGAGGCTATTTCCATGCAGTGAGAGACAGTGATTGATAACTGGCAGAGAACAGAGAAGCTGCAGAAACTGAAAAGGGGGCAGGGAACGGGTGAAAACTCAGCAGTCAGGAGGAGAGCCATTAAGTCTAAAATTTTGTTTTGTGATGGCCATAAAGGAAGAGCCCATACTTTAACTTCATTATCCCATATTGTAGGAATGGCAAAGTTGTAATTCACTATTGACACTGACAGGAGTTTTGTACATGAGGTGTGTCTGATAAATTAAACACAAACCCATTGAAGGCTCTGGGAAAAAGAGCAATTTTCTGAATGAAATCATTAAAGCTTCTCTTTTTATGTACAGGTAAACCTAATTCCAGAAATTCAGCATTTCCTTTGCAGAAAAGAGGGATTATGCCAGATAACAAAAGCCTTTTCAGGTAACCTAATTTCTTCAAATTTGTGTATGTGATGATGGTCTTTTAATAGTTGTCACAGGAAGTCTCTGAAATGACACTGTCAGGCTTACAATTCCTTTTTATTTTTAGTCACGAATGCGTAGGGGGAAAAAAATGAAACAAGAAAGATAATCCATTTCAGACGCCACTTAAATACGAATGACAGTTATGCAGTATCTTTTCAGGTAAAGATATTGCATTGTTTAGCCATTGCACACTGCAGAAATAATTTGGCTATAAGTGTCTTATTTTTGGACTGTTTTGTGTTAATACAATGTATTGGTGTTTACACTTCAAAGCCCTGGGTTCGGTGTAATATGTTTGTTCAGCTTTACAAAAATGTTGTGGCATGGAGAAGGAGTAGGAGTCAGAGTTTGGTTCCCATCCAGACATAGCTTACTGATAAAAAGCCTTTGTGTATTAAGATCATCAACCAGAAAAGTTTAAAGGTTATGGGCCAGTTGCCAGAGAATTCTAATTTACTATGGTTGAAATTCAGCTTTGAACAGAAACTGGAAAAAACTGTTGTGCACCGTATTAGGTCTATTTAAACTACAGAGGGACACATTCTGAGCTCAGTTACACCACTAAATATCCAACATCATTGCTATTTTGGATATATGATCTATCCTATATAAACTTTGCTTATAAGAAATCTTGTCTTTTTTTTTTTTTTTGTAATCCAGTAACAACCAACCCCACATTTATTCCATTAGTATTTAGCCTTGTTTGCAGACAAATATACAAGATTGATCAGTCTCGTCTCTTCTCTTCCCTTCCCTTTCACCTTTTATATATTTGCAATATTTAGCACATAAGAGAAAGATGCATAACATCTCATTTAACCATTTAGAAGTCAGATATCTTCTGCACCAGTATTCTAGTCTTCCCCTTAAGCCAGTGGAGAGAGAGGGGCACTTTCAAACACTACTTAATTTTATCCTAAACTATGTGTTTAAAATAGGTGTGTTGAATTACCCTCTGCAGGTACTTACTACCCAATTAACTCTCACCACTGACTGTAAATGGAGCCTAGACAAGTAGCTTAGATTAAGTACCTGACACTTGGATGCTTGACTAAAGTTGAGGTTAGGTGGTTCCTAACCTAAGCATACCATATTTTCCCTTTTAATTTTTTTACTGTTTCATTTAAAGATTGATCAATATTTAAAACTTATGTGAAGCGTTTCCTTTTATAGAACTGTATGTTGAGAGTCAGTTTAAATTGGACATTTCTATTTTCCTGGTGCAGTAAATTGTCAAAACTGATCATAAGGAACATGCAGTATAAGGAACATCTATCCAGGTCCCATGAGAGCCCTTTATCATGAAGTCATTTTACACCAGGTAGGTGATATATTCTGTTTTGGCTGAGTTTTAAGCATGCCTTCAGTGATGCCTAGTGCCTTGGTTCCCTTGCACTGGAAAGTGAATTAGAAAGTATTCTGAATAGTACTGGTTTCAGACAAACCTGAGCAGATTTCTAAAAATGTCAAGGACTTCAGGAATTGGTAGTTCCTACTTGTGTTGTAACAGACTGCCTTTAAAAAACATCGGTTTGCCCTGATACTTGGAGAAAGGCCAATTGCAGTGGTTTTATTATTTTGCTACCGCAAAACCACAAACACAAGAGGCACTCACCACACACACAGCTTTCCCCTTAAAATATGCACATTTTCACTGGTGTCCATAAACTATGGTACAAGCCACTTTGTATATGTGGTCTGTTAAGTGGTTCAGCGTTTTCTCCTCTTTAGGGAAGGGCCATTTGTAAACATGTTATTCCATGCCAGGAAAGCAAAGAGAAAAGCCCTTCTAAGTGATGCCGAAATCCCATTGAAATCAAGGTAGTGTGTGTGCTTGGCAGCAGGGGTCTGAGTCCTACTCACCCAGTAACAGAGGATTATTGTAGCAGTCTGCTGAAGGACTGTCAGATAGAAAAAGGCCCAGGCCTCACCATTCAGTTAGCAGTAAAAAAGACTTTGAACCTAAATTAGCTGCAGTGTTTTAAAGTAAAAAAAAAATCCATCTCTTAAATCTAGGTGTCTCCACATCAGCATGTGGTCTAGGGGCTGAGGTAGCTGTTTCAACACAAGGGTCTCATGCCACTTGAGATGCCATGGAGAGTCCAAGACGCCCAGTAGGATGGGCAGATTTGGCACAAAACCTATGTCTTTTTGGTCCAGCAGCTGGAGGCTCAGAGGGATATCCTATGGTGTCCTAGAAGGCAATAGATATCTATGTGTGGGTACCTGAGTTTAACGCTTGGTATCTAAGCTCCCGAAATTAACAGAAGTACAGTTTAGAGTGAGCAAGCCCAAAAAGGCATTTACTTCCAGCATAATTTACAGTTAGCTGAATTGCTCCACATTGACTGTATAGACTACACTGACGTCCACAGACAGGAATGGGAACTTAGACTGTGGCACACAGGGGGTCATCTTTGTATAGACCAGACCTCAGTGTCTCAATCTAGAAATGAATCTCATTCAGTATCACTGGATATGTGACATCTAATTTACTATGCGTGGAATTCACCCACAGAAGGTGAAATTAGAATCAGAAGGGTAAATCATTTGATTTCAGGTTAAGAGGACAAAAAGGTATAAGTTAAAGCAAATTTCTAGAGCCAAGATTTCAGATACTCTCCTCCCCTTCCATTCATCTGATAAAGCCAGCTCTTTCCACTTCTTTCTTCTGCTTGCATCCTCCGACAGGCCTTTCTTTCCAACAACAGCAAAGTTGCAAATTATTAGGATTTGTTTGAGCCTCAATTTTAAAATTATTGGGGAAAGAATGGTTTTCATCAGTATTTCCTCCACAGAAGAGTTTGTTTCCTTTCAAATCAGTCATGTACTTTCACTCCTGTGTGTTTGAGTCAACAGGGCTTCTCTGCAATTCCTGTTGAAAAGGATCAGTTGGTTTGTTATTACTGTGTTTGTCATTTAGTCAGCCCTCCAAGGAGCCAAGCAATTTCCTGTAAAAGTGAAAACACAAAGTTGCTGCTCTAAGAATTATGTGATCTAATTAAAGACATGCTAAGTTGTAGAAAGAAATATCAGGCAGCAAGGCTGAGAGAATGGGATTACTGGATTCACTGTGGGTGTGACAGTGTTGATATTGATAAGCAGTGGGTACAAGGATAAAGGTTATTTTTTAAAAAGATGTTATTCTATTTGTTGTTGTGCAACTCTTAAGTTGCTAGCTTTTGTATTTAAGAGAGCATGCCCCTTCTCATACCCCTGTAGTATCACTATAGGAAAGAAAATGAGTTGTAGAAAATATCAGGTCAGTGCTTGTTTCTTTGTTTTGTCTCTTTAATGGTAAATCTTTTTGTCAGTCTGAAAATTCAGATTGGTTCTATCTGTATGGGGGGAAAAATTATGCACATACCAGTGATGACTGCTTTTTAGGAGACAGGAGAGAAGCTGGGAAGAGAAAAAAGGTTAGGAAAATCAGACTGGAAGAAGGGTCTAGAGGAGCAAAAAGGTAAAAAATACGTGATGTGTGTCGGTAAATTGGATTGAGTAAGAGAAGGAGTTGCTGGAGCATGGATACATGTGGCAGTGGGTTTGTGATGAGGCATAAGAATGGTAATGGATCTTAAAATTCAACATGGAGGACACTGATAAGTGCTTGCTGCTCAGTCTGAGAAGATTGGTTTCACTCCTGCTTTTGCAGGGCATTTGGCCCAGTTTTTAATCAGGTGCCTGATGTCTGCTCGCTATATGGGACTTGGGCCATGAGGAGGTTCTGGTACGGCTATTGAATGACCAAGGAAGGCTCCTGGCATTTATTGCTCAGGTCAGCAAAAGCTGCAGCTATTGCAGTGATCTGTGAATGAAATCTTCCTGCAAACCCTAACCTAGAAGCTCTCTGATGTTGGAGAATGACTGGCAAAGAGATTTCAGGTGTTCATGCTTGGTATCCCACCACAGGGGGGCTGAGAACCGGGCTTGGCTGCCTCCTGGAACTACTCTTGGCTGAGAGATGGAGAGGACTAAGGTCGACAATGTGAGCAGAATTGCCCAGCCTCAGTTTAAGGCACAGGAAAGACATCCTGATGTAGGCACAACAAATACTCTTTTTGGCAGGTTTTGCCTGGGAAAATGCTTATAGCATTGCCTCCCTGATCTTCCTGTTCCCTAAGCAATCTAGACTAGTCTGTCTTTCCACATAAACATTTGTCTTGCTTCATCACTTCCAGGGCCCAGCCTGTGCCATGCATAGCTGTTTTCTCTACCCATCCAGATCACCAATTCTTTTTAAAGTAATACTTTTGCTGTACGCCTTCCTTCTGCATTTCTTTTTATTAGTGTCACTAGTGCAGAGACTTTATGAGTGTCTACCAGTCTTGAGTGCTTCCTTGGTCACCCGTGGGGCTGGCCAACAGTGTTAATCACCCAGAAGGTCTTGGGGTAGGCACGACCCTAATGAAATTGGGTGGGAGGGAGAGCCAAGATAGTCCAGCTGTGTGACTGTGCTCTCACTGTGATATGTTTACTGTCTGGTGCTAACCCCATGCCAGCTTTCCTCTCCCCCTGCTTAGCAAATCTGCCCTGCCTGTCCCTTGCATTTTTTTTTGAAGGGTGATGAGGTGAGGGGAGGAAGCAAGGTCCGATAGGGCCACCTATGTAAAAGAGAAATTATAGATTAAATTTATTTTCTGTTGTAGTAATTCAACATCTTTGTGACAGGAACATGCTTCTGTATAGTGGGATGCATTTCTTTTGCCAGTTGGCCCTTATAAATGTCCGCACACCAGTTGTGATCAGTTTTGTGCCTATTACCTTTCTGCTACTGACGTTGCTAAGAGCCTCAAGAATGGCCAATAAAATCAGCATCTGATTCTTTTGAGTTAATTTGATTATAAACTACATGGGGCAGGATTTTCTTTGTTTTACAACAGGGTCAGTTCTCAGCTAGGATGAAAATGTACTTCTGTAATAACAACAAATATGAAGAGGCTGAAAAGAAGTAAA